TACTGTATGCCACAGTCACTCAACCTGCTGAATATCACGGGAAAAAAACATGAGCACTAACCATCTACGGTAGTCAAATTCGCCAGCGCCCAAATCGCCCAATATTGTGACGCAGGGCTGTCGAATCGGGGCAGAAGTCGTAAAATCGGTTCGAATGATCTGAAAGCAAGTTATAGTAATACAAGATGGCTAGAAAGATCTGTTTAATCTGCACTTGTACGCTGCTTTAACTTTGTCAAAATGGTAAAGAGCGTACAGCGATGCTGGCGTTCAACACAATATTAAGGCAAACTGACAAGGCCGTAAAAACGCATAAATTATTAATCATTTTCGACGTCTTTTAAACGTCTGACAACGGCTACAGTAAGGGATCGCGTGCCACAGCATGATACGGTCAGGTAAGCCTTTAGTATCCGTGCTAGTAACAGCCATAATGATTGGTAATATTCTAAAAAGGTAGGCCAATGAAGCAGTGGTTACACACAGATAAGTACTTTCGAGAGTGATGAAATCTAGGAATAAGAAACTCGAAGAGTCAACAAAAGAGAACTGATCTAAAGCCACCATTCGTATATCTGCCAACAACAACTCGATGAAATCTTCTCATTGTGAAAACTGCATGCGATGAGTTCAATATCCCAGGAACAGAAGTGAAAATTTCAAGCTGTACCAGTACGATACCTTCAAAAATAAGTCATTCGTAGCTGCAGGCATCGAAATGGTGATTGGCCCTTCACGCGTGAATCAATAAAACGGCGTCTATGACAGAGGTAAAAAGGATATCGGCTACCCAAAGATTACCTACCATGTTGTTCTTTTCGCTTGAAGAAAACACGGCATTGAATAATAATTATGAACGGAGAGATGCCATTCTATTATAAGCACAATAACTGCAAGCCTGAACAGAGATGGGGAATGAAAGTTGCCGTTTAACAGACTTGGTAGTAAAACAGAAAAGATAAGCGCAAGGGCTATCGATTAACACCAGCATGCTAAAAAAAGCAAAACGATTACTCGCCACAAAAAATTTCTTCCAAAGATATCTCAATAAATCCTACGAATCAGAGACTGCTTGATGGTTCAAGTACCCAAGATGGCAATTAATATATGCAAATAGATAATGAATTCCATGTCAATAAAGAATAACTCAAATTTTGAATGCTTCTGCTGCTTTCAGCAACAACAGTTTCAAGGCTTTAAGTTACTGCACTTACCGATAGTTAATGAAACGTCTTGCACTTAATGGCCACCTGTTAACAGCATTTATAACGGCTTCTGAAGCGTGGGATCTGGATGGAGATGCGTCAGGCCATGCCTCGTCGCCGTCACCGATCAAATGAGACAGCACTCCTAAAATCGTTAGTGAAAACGCAAAAAAGAATCACATACGATAATCAGGGTGGCTTATGCAATGCATACTTAATTTAAAATTTAGAAAAGAAGAACGGCAAGTTTTCTGACCAGCATTTTTTCGCAAAGAATTTCTACAGAAAATCGCAGCTTCTTAATGTTAGCTATGCAAAAGTTTATGCCAAACGTAATGAAACTAATTTATTTTATGATAAAGGGTAAAAGTTTCAGCGGTACAGATAAAACGAAGAAACCGTTGCTTACGTACTTAATTCATTTTACTGCTAAACGACATAGTGGTCTTCACCGGGGCACACAATGAAGAAGATCAAAAAACGAAAATCCGTTGGTTAAAAATGACAAAATATATGTTAAGTTAAACATAAGTATTGGCAAAGGCAAATTTGATGGGAGTTACGCAGTGGTTTT